AAGTAATCAACAGAAGGGGGACAATAAACAACACCAAGAACCAGTTTTGTTCCTTTATTGTGGTGTAGGTTTAGTTGTGGAATAGGAGGGTGAGGAGGAGGCTCGGATTTTGTGAGAAAAGTCACAGCGGAGATATATAGCACCACCCCCTCTTCTGTCCACACGTTCATTGCGTATCAAAGTAAAATCAGAGAGAGGATAAGTGGTCGAAAGAAGATGAGGTTTGAACCAACTCTCAGAAATCAAAACAGCATGAACGTTAGCATTTGAGAAAGCTTCAATTAGGTCGCTGTAGTGACAGGGTACGCTTTGTGCATTGACATGACACACGTTCAACGAAGAGTGCGCCTGATTAAACGTATGCCGCACGAAATCACCAAGCGTATCAGTTGCAGAACAAAAACTATTGTTATTAGACGATGTGACAGATTTATTGGCAGAAAAAAAAAGAATCTTCATCAGAAGCCATTAATATAAAAATAATACAATAAATATAATGTATATAGGTAATATAAAATGTTTGCAATAATTAATAAAGTATATATATAAATATATCGGACTAAAAAAAAATATGTGCAACACTGCTATGGCTGCACCACCCGCCAGTTAGCACACACACACATTGGCGGAATGTATACAAATAGACATAGAATAAAATAAACATAAGAAAAAACTCGAAATACCTAATTAATACTTAAAATTAAAAATAATACAATATGCAAATTTCTGAGTGAAACTATCTTCAATTGAGGTCTGTTAAGCTGGAATGGACATTTGGGCAAAATCACTTAAATTTTTGCTAAATATTTAGTGCTCATTTAGTGCTAATTTAGTGCAGCAAATTTAAATTTCACGCCAAAATAGCTTGATCAAAAATGAGAAAACTGCTAGCTTTTAATTAAGCTAGCAGTGTTCTACCTATTAAAACGATAACCGCTTAATGCAGCACCAAATAGAAGCATCAATAATTTAGTGCTCATTTAGTGCTGGCGATGTACGCAAAAACAAATATTGGGAAAATATATTTTCTTTAATATCATAAATTCTGCTACTTTGACATCTTTAGCAGAGTATGTAAAGAAAAAATTGACATCCAAGTGGATTATTACCTAATGAAATGAGATAATAATTTAGTGCTCATTTAGTGCTGCTGATATACGCAAAAACAAATATTGGGAAAATATATTTTTTTATTTCCATAAACTCTGCTACTTTGACATCTTTAGCAGAGTATGTAATGAAAAAATTGACATCAGAGTGGGCTATCACATAATGATATAAGATAATAAATTAGTGCTCATTTAGTGCTGTCGATATATGAAAAAGGATTTGAGATATAGTTTTTTTAAATACTGTATACTGCTACCTTGGCATATTTAGCAGCGTATGTACTGAAAAAATTGACATCTAAATTTCCCAAATCCTTTTTCGTATATCGACAGCACTAAATGAGCACTAATTTATTATCTTATATCATTATGTGATAGCCCACTCTGATGTCAATATTTCATCACATACACTGCTAAAGATGTCAAAGTAGCAGTTTACGGTATTTAAAAATAATAATTTCGCAAATCCTTTTTCGCATATCGGCAGCACTAAATGAGCACTAAATTATTATCTTATATTATTAGGTGAGAATTCACTTGGATGTCAATGTTTCATCACATACTCTGCTAAAATGTCATAGCAGCAGAATTTATGATATTACAAAAAATATATATTTTTCCAATTTTTGTTTTTGCGTATATCGGCAGCACTAAATGAGCACTAAATTATTATCTTATATCATTAAGTGATAATTCACGTCGATGTCAATTTTTTCAGTACATACTCTGCTAAAGATGTCAAGGTAGCAGTTTACGGTATTTAAAAAAAATAATTTCTCAAATTCATTTTCGTATATCGACAGCACTAAATGAGCACTAATTGATTATCGTATATCATTAGGTGATCATTCATTTGGATGCCAATGTATCATCACATACTCTGCTAAAGATGTCAAGGTAGCAGTTTACGGTATTTAAAAAAAATAATTTCTCAAATTTTTTTTCGTATATCGACAGCACTAAATGGGCACTAATTGATTATCTCAAATCATTAGGTGATCATTCATTTGGATGCCAATGTATCATCACATACTCTGCTAAAGATGTCAGGGTAGCAGTTTACGGTATTTTAAAAAAATAATTTCTCAAATTTTTTTTCGTATATCGACAGCACTAAATGGGCACTAATTGATTATCTCAAATCATTAGGCGATAATTCACTTGGATGTCAATGTTTCATCACATACTCTGCTAAAGATGTCAAAGTAGCAGAATTTATGATACTCGTATTAAAGAAATATATATTTTCCCAATATTTGTTTTTGCGTATATCGGCAGCACTAAATGATCACTTAATTATTATTAGGTGATAGCCCAATCTGATGTCAATTTTTTCATTACATACTCTGCTAAAGATGTCAAAGTAGCAGAGTTTATGAAAATAAAAAATGTATTTTCCCAAGTTTTGTTTTTGCGTACACCGACAGCACTAAATGAGCATAAATTGATTATTTCATATCATTAGGTGATAATTCACTTGGATGTCAATGTATCATCACTTACTCTGCTAAAGATGTCAAAGTAGCAGAATTTATGACATTAAACAAATATATATTTTCCCAATATTTGTTTTTGCGTACATCGGCAGCACTAAATGAGCACTAAATTATTGATGCTTCTATTTGGTGCTGTATTAAGTGCTTATCGATTTAATAGGTAGAACACTGCTAGCTTAATTAAAAGCTAGCAGTTTTCTAATTTTTGATCAAGCTATTTTGGCGTGAAATTTAAATTTGCAGCACTAAATTAGCACTAAATGAGCACTAAATATTTAGCAAAAATTTAAGTGATTTTGCCCAAATGACCATTCCAGCTTAACAGACCTCTTCAATTGTCAAATTGAGCAGCTTAACAACTAATCTAAGATAAGGTTTTGAAGGGTTAGAGCGTTAGCATAACAGGCTGTCAGGTATTCCGCCTTAGTCTTGAGATATAACAACGCAACTCCTGTAAACTTCATTATTTGTAAAGGCGTAAATTGCTGCCGCTGTAGCCGGTGTAGCTATCTACCATCAGGTGGACAGTTGTTTGTTAGTCACTTTACTAAAGCAACCGGGCGCTGTCCGGCATTAGAAAGAAAGTTGTAATTTTTTTTCTGTGATGACTGTTAAAATGATAAAGTAAAACATTATTTAAATACATAATTTTACTCAATTCGTTAAAACTGTATCCAAGGAAACAATTACATAATATTTGCCCTACAACCAACGAAAACATATACCAATTACATATATCGCTTAAGTATAGGATAAACATAGGATAGAAGAAATGTCAATCTGACAAATCAAAGTGCCCGTTCTATCTTCGCGCTCCATCCCCATTGGTTGAACAAATGATTTTTCCACTGTTCCCGTCGAGATCGAGATTATTATCGATAAAACCGTAAAAAATAGTTTCATGTGATGTTTAGGATTTGTTTGAACGTAAGAATTTATTGTTCTTAGTTAAAGATTGCTTCAATTTAACATTTAACTTACTCTTCCTATTAAAAATCAAAGTATTTTGCAGTAAGATACCGTTATAACCTATTAAACTCCACTGCTGCACGGCCTATGTTCAGCAGTATTACATAGTCCTCCATAGATTGTCTCATCCATTACAGCCTATAAAAGTCCACTGTTGAACTCGAGGCCTCCCTCATAGATTGCCTCATGGGGGAATTTCGCCATAGTTGCCACGCTTGACAAACGGTTTGGCAACCGCAATTTTATAGTTTTAGTCTATTAGGAAGACGCTGCTATCCATCTTCTGATTTGTTTTATTCTGTCGCCTCTTACGACACCCACGGAATGATATGGGGTAGTGGATAAGATACGGTGTAGGATATCCTTAACCCATTCGCAGTCCCGTGTACGATATATAGTTCACTGCTATTGTCTTACTATTGTGTATGAAAATCTTACAGTGAAAGTGTTCAAACAAACATAGCGAAAGTAATATCCTCTGTTGTATTAAAATTTCGATATGTCTTCGAGTAAGTCTTAATTATTTCTGCCGTTTAATGAGTAAAGTGTATAAAGAGCCAATGTAATTACAAGCTATGAGCTGTGAGGCATTCCATTTGAGTCTTCAGAACAGTAGCCTCCTTCCTGTTCAGCAATGGAATTTTATAGGCTGTAATGGATGGACGGATGGAGTTATGTATTTATTTACAAAATTATATACACAAATATTAATCCGAACACAAAAACATTCCCATTCTACGGAATTTAAACTGACAGCTGTTAACAGCAACTGGCAGTTAAAAATTTAAAAATAGAATGTGGATTGGACAGTTTCTCACTAGTCAATGGAACTTAACAAAAAAACCTGACATTTCAACAGCTTTGGGAATTCGGGAACTCGTATATTTATTTCAACGTATCAAAACGAACATATAGGCAAGTTTTTTTTTTATTTATGAATTTCATATTGGGTTAACAGCATTTACTTTTTGTTTTTATATTATTAAAGTATAAAATTTCATTAAATATATTAATTGTGACTTGTGATAAGTACTTGTGTTATTTCATTGTATCACAACAAGCAACAACAAACTATAACACAGCTGTGTTACGGTTTTGTTTGTTGCCTTCTTTTCTTGAGGTTGTTTGCGTATTTATTTATTGGCTGCATCACATATTATTCTACAGTTTATTTGCCACACTTATAATTTAATTTAAAAAAAAATAGAAGTAATTATTTTGAGGACAAGGATCTCGATGATCCGAAGTCAATAATTTGTGTAATGCTTCATGCATTGACATTTATGAAATTTTCTTCGAGAACAAATACTTAAAAAAATTTAAAACCTTTGCAAACTCAGCGTGTTTGTTGAAAAATGTTCACTTAATTTAGAATCCCTTTGTTTCGTTGTTAGGATAATAAGTTACCTAGTTTTCGATCGCTTACCTTCAGGCCAGTTGTCATAAACGTGTACCGCGATGTCGCCGGCCGAGTCCACGGGGCTGAAGATGAACTCTTTCGTTTTGCCAGACACCAGGATCAGCCGCAGGTTTATCTGTAAATAAAAAAAAAGTTTTAACTTTTGTATAGATAGCTCAAATCTGTAAATTTAAAAAAAAGTATTAGTTTTTGTATAGATTCTTTAGGCTTAGAAAAAAGTGACAAGACGGGTGGTTCTTTACTCGATAAAGGCTAAGTAAAACCATTGAGTTAGGAAAGAAATAAATTTAATACACATTTAATTATATTTTTATTATTAAATTTATATTGCGACTGCGTTTCGTCAACATATGTGAAATAAATACTTTAGCTGAATGAGTAATTTTTATAATTTACAAGCTGGGCTTCTATATACCTTATGTGGTATTAAGAGTTACCTACGTATGACATCTTACTAAATGATCATAACAAGATTACAGTTTTATTCATAAAATCGATATCAATTTGCGAAATGTTTCAAGTTGCACTCTCTCTCTTTTCACTAAATAACAATAGAGAGACAGGTATAGACATAATTAATGCATAATTTAAGTAAGCGAGAATCAACGATTATAAGTAAGGCCAAAGTTGATTTTTCATTCCTTCTAGTGTTTTTTGTCGCCTATTCATAAACAACGTAACTAGATGGCGGTATGTAGTGATGAAATTTAGCCAATAGATGGCACTACACTATTACATTATATCGCAAAATAGAATTCACATTATAAATTATAATAAAATTTGTTTACAATGTCAACGCGTTTATAATGAGGGCATCCACGACTATTTCTACCACCAGGGCGGCGTTACTAGAAAGTGAGGTATATTTATAATCTATGACTACGATTTCATTACATATGTAGCGGGGAAAGGGAAGTTAATTTGTTCGGAAAATGTAAAAGTTATTGTTTCTTTCTGTACTATTAGCTATATTTTATATTAATAACATTAAAAATAAATAGACAAAACCACAGATATTCATAAAAGTAGAAAAATAAAAAAGTTAAAGAAGTGCAAAAAATTAAGGAGCAAACCACTTATAAACTTTTATTAAAAAACTTCTCAATTAAATTAGTTATACTTAAGTCATATAATATAAAACATAATAGATATTCTGGGATTATCAATGTCTAAAATAAATTATTTGTACATAAAAAAGATTTTTAAATAAATAAGAGGTTACTTTTTGTATATAATTATAGTCCTTTATTTGAAAGGAAAAAAATTGAGTAGCTAATTATTTATTAAAAATGATAAAAATATTTATAGCGACCCTGCCAGGATTCGAACCTGGAATCTTCTGATCCGTAGTCAGACGCGTTATCCGTTGCGCCACAGGGCCTTATACATGTTCAGTAAAATGTGACATAATATTCATATAAAACTGTACATGTTTACTCTCTGATAACATTGAATATTCAATAACAACACGTTGGTGTTGTTATTGAATATTCAACGTTATGTTCCACACATGCGTTACATGGTATGTGCTAAATATAGGTCGTTTCAAACATGCGTTACGATTAGTAGGTATTTGCCATTTTTAATGGATTTTATAGTCAGTCAGAACTTCTGTCAAACATCAGAGTGCGTTTTGACATTTGGAATATAATTTGTTATATTCCTCCTTAACACCCTCACAGCCGGTTTGTTATTTTTTTGTGCACTATTTACGAATTTTAGATAATTAATTAGTTACAATATTAATTTCAAAAATGTTTATTTGGACACTTATATTCTGCTAACTTCAGAATTATTTACCAGTCCGGAAACTAATTAGCTGGACATGGGGGCCCACCCATGTTTGAGAGTTTAACTCCTAATATTTGTATCACAATATATATGTAGTTAGTTGCTTCGCCGAGTCTAAATAACCTACTTATTTAATAATTTTATACTACTAAAAGGAAAGAAAAACTGTAGGTACAAGATAAGATAACACCAAAAAGTTGCTTTCTTGTACCTTAAAATTATTTGAACATGAGTCGATAACACTGTTAAACATTACTAAAGTTGAGATTAGCATGTTCAGCCTTCATACAGTAAAAATAGACTTCGTTGTTGTTCCTTTCGGCGCAGACGAGTACTAAGGGACGCCTCGGCTTTGTGGCGGCCATATTTAATTTTTCCGGCTATCCTGGGACCTGGGAGGCGTTCGCCATCGTTGATTGTACATAAACGGAAGTTGAAATTTTTGATTGCTCTACATTTTATCTGAAATATTAAATATTTTATCTCGTAAATTGAAGATATCTAAGGTTATGAGTTTTTGACATTATATAAAATTATTTTCAAATTTAGAAGCGTGCTTCCGAACACGTGGTGCTCGTTTCGTGCGTAAGGTAAGGTTGTGTAGCCAGTTTATAAAATAATGGCAACGAATGAGCACTCAGTCCACCCGATAGTAAGTGGATGCTGTGGCCCATAGACATCTTCATTTATCCTCGATTAAGAATCGAAATGAGAATCAAGGAGACGGTCGAGCCGACCCATTCATGCTACAAACAATATGGCTGCAGGCCACGTATACATTAAAGACACGTTTCCGTAAATAACAAATACGCCAAGACGCATTAGAGTAGCGCGGCGGACATTTTCTTGCCCTAAAACCTTCTCAGAAATGAGGGGAGGTCTGTGCTCAGCAGTGGGACTTATATAGGCTGTAACTTTAATTTCCGTAAATAAGCTCTTAATCATTAAACGCATTAATACTTGTCGCATCGAAAACTAATTTATGAACCGCATGTACGTTTATACGTCCATGGTGAACCGTTTTTGATGATTCTTTTTTTTATTTGAAAGCTGTTGCTTCTCATGTGGTCCCATATAAATTTTTCAAGGTCTGACCAATAGTTTTTGAGTTATTCTTAATAATTTATATTGAAGTCGGTCGTACAAAATTTTTAATTTTAAATTATTATAAACAATATTGTTTTGTATAAAGGTCAACAACACGCTGCCCACGGGCTGTCGATAGCAACAAATGCCCTGGAAACTTATCAGCGATTTGTGAACGTTTTAACAAACAACGTCAGTTCCACAGTTATTGTTTTTGTTATTTCCTGCGATGGCAAAGCTCTTGTGGTTCCGTTTCAATTTTATTTGGCATGTAGGTTATCAACGGTCTTTCGGTTATATATTTGCGCGCGTAGGCTTGACGTGCTAATTCCGGTTATCAAATACATAATGCATTCTACTATTCGTGTTGCGAATAAATTTAGTATTTAAACTAAGTAAGGAAAAGTATGTCGCTTATGATTAACCTACTATTCGTCTATTTAGAACAGAGATCAGGTTGCGAAGGGCGGCGCCTTGTTGGTGGAAATGGGTTGTTGAGGCATATGTAGTGGAGCTAATGATTGCGGGTGGCTCAAGATCGTGCCATGTGGCAATTTATGGCTGAGGCTTATGTTCAACTGGGCTGTAATGATGGATAACGATACTGGATTTTTTTTTCTATAAAACGTTACCTCCACATTAGAATTTTCTCCAGTACCGTTACTACTTTTTATATATAAATAAACAACCAAAACTGGAGAAATAATTTGCAGAACCTACAAATAATTTTTCCTTTTACGGGGTTATTCCAGCGTCTTCTTAATAAAAAACTGCGGCTGCCAACTTGCCGCGTGCCAAGTGTGGTAACTATGGCAAATATAGGGAATATTATATGAGGCAATCTATGGGGGTGTTCAGCCTATGTTCGGCAGAGGACTTTAATCGGCTGTAACGGTATCGGATATTATAGTATAAAACTAGCGATCGGCCCCAGCTTCGCACGGGTGATTTCTGCATCTCGACAACAGCGCTACCTACCGGCTCCATCTGTAACTAAGCACCATCCATCTGACCCCCATAAGTAACTCAGTTCTAAAAACTTTAAATTTTTTTATAGGAAAAGGGTGACAAGCGAGCACACAGTCCACCTGATGGTAAGTGGTAGCTGTGGCCCATAGACATGTACATCTATCCTCATTTCCGAATCAAAATGCAGATGCGTTATCAGCCGTGAGGACTAAGATGGAATGCCTCTTTTCCAGTAAAAACGGTCTCCGGTTCTCTACACCCACCATAAGAAACACAGCAGCACGAGGCTGCTATTTTACGCTGGTATTATGTGAGAGCGTGATCCTTCCCCGGTCGGGCCGAAACATTCATGCTACAACTATGCAATTAATATAGCTGCAGCATGGCTCTACCACGTTCAGTGTCGCCCTCGTACAAAGCCACCTGTTGTCAACAAACAGGGATCGCCGTAGTATTAATATTAATAAGAAAGATATCTTCATCTTTTAAATTCATAATCAAAGGTCAAGAACAATGAAAAAAAAAAATGTAGGTTGGATTTAAAGCTAAATCTATACAGGTGCCTAAAACAAAACGCAACTGAAAACTTTCTCAATATAGTGCTGCTGGAGCACTGGCTGTTTGCTTCCGACATTTAGTATGGATTCTGTAAAGTTACGTTGTACGGCACAGGTGGCCACAGTCTTGTGAACCAGAAGTTGAAATACAAAGTCTCAAAAAGTAACCACAACCAACGATGCCGCATTGCAGCTCGCCTCGTGTTCGGAAGCCCTCCAAACTCTTTCGCTACGTTATAATTGATTACTGCAGCACTACCGACTGTAGTGTAGTCCGTTCAAAACAAAACAGCAATGAAGTGAGTGCTAACTTATCTATTATGTGTATAATACAATAACATTTATATATAATATACACTATATATTAGAGATATTTTAATAACTATTTTTGAGTGAGGTACGGGTGACGTTCAGAAATATTAATAATGTTTAGAATAATGTTTGGAATTGAAAAAAAAATATGCTGGCTGACAAAGTTTCAATATAATATATAATTTGTAAGATATGATACGTAAAAATAATTAAACGGATTATCTTTAGTTAAAAAAAACAGTTGTTATTTCTTTGCGGGTAGTTTGAACGTGTTGGCGAAAATAGAAAAAAAAATTAACTACGTGCTGCGCATGAAGTATTTATTTTCGAAATAAGTCACTACGGACCAAGTTAATTAAGTTTTGCGGGATATATTAAGGGTAAATCTTTAGTCGTTTTCTACAGTTGCACATTGGTGGGCCGAATCTAAACGTGGAAGAAAATCC